AAAAAAAAAAAAAAAAGTCCCAGGACCAAGTTTGAGAAACTGGACTCTGACCCCCGGGGCTGCTGTGGTCAGCGCCCCAGTCGCCTGATCCCTTGTGACCCCACCACCATCTGCAAAGCGGTGATGACAACCTTGGTGACTGCGCACCCGCAGTGTGGTCTTCACCTGTCACCTCTCTGCCCCCACCCCCAGCCCTGGGAGGGCGGGAGCGTCCTGTCCATGGGAAAGCCTTTAAGACACAGAGACCCAGCCAGGTGACCCAACTCACACGAAGCTGCGTGGCCAGGGTGGCTGGTCTGGGACTTGAACCCAGGTTTCCTCAGCATCACTCCTGCCCCTCTGCCTCCCTCATCAGAAAAGCTCAGGTGCGTGACCCACGGGCTCAGAGAGGCCCCCCCAACTGATGTCTTAGCTGCTGGTTGCGGGACCAATAGATTTAAGGGGTTATTATTTTAAAATATTCTGACAAGTTGTCAGAATATTTTAAAATGACAACCCCTTAAAAATCCAAGATCCATTTCTCGCTGACCAGCAGAGGCTAAATTCACAGAGGCTGCCCTGGCTCGTGTGGCTCAGTGGTTAGAGTGTCGGCCCGCACACCCAAGGGTCATGAGTTCGAATCCCGGCCAAGGGCACGTACCTGGGTTGCAGGTTCGATCCCCAGCCCCAGCTGGGACCTGTATAGGAGGGAACCAATCAACGTGCTTCTCTCACATCGATGTTTCTCTCTCTCTCTTTCTCAGGCCCCCTCGCTCCCTCCCTCCCACTCTAAAAATAAATGGAAAAAACAAAAAATTAAAATTAAATTCCCAGAGGCTGCTTTGAACCTGGGGGCTGTGCCGGGCCTGGCTCTGGCTCCTGGGTAGGCCCCAGGCCCAGCCAGGCAGCCCCATCCCCTTGCTACCATCTCTTCTGTGGGCCTGTCCACTGGGGGTTCTTCAGGGAGCGGGACGGGGAAGCCAGGAGAGGGGGGACCGCGTGACATACTTGTTTTCATTGCTGGCATCATATCGCGGGGATGGGTCATAATCGTTTCCGTTGACGTCATAACTTGCATAGGGATCCTACGGAATAAAGCTTCAGTGAGTGGCACAGACAGAGGAGACCTGAACGAAATTATCATCACACCTGGAAGACGGAAAACTGGGCACTTGGTCCGGTCACTGTGGCTGTCACCCTACCTGTGTTTTCTTTCTCTCTTTCATTTTTTTATTGAATTCACTGGGGTGACATCGGTTAATAAAATTATACAGGTTTCAGGTGTACAATTCTATATATCTCATCTGTATATTGTGCCTTAGAGGTGTTTTCATTGTGGTAAAATACACAGAACAAAGCTGACCACGGCGGCCACGTTCAAGGGCGCGGTTCCCCGACACCGAGTCCGCTCACGCTGCTGCGCAGCCGTCACCGCCACCCATCCGCAGGGCTCCTCGCATCTTGCGAAACGGAAACTCTGCCCCATTAAACGCTAACTTCCCCCACCCCCCGCCCCGGCACCCTCGGTTCTCTGCTCGGTCTCTGGGAACGTGGCTGCTCTACACACCTCACAGGAGTGGGATCAGACAGGATTTGTCCCTTTGTGACCGGCTTGTTTCACTTAACGCGATGCCCTCAAGGTTCATCCAGGTTGTGGCACGTGTCAGAGCTTCCTTGATCTTATATTTTTAACATATANCCTTTGTGACCGGCTTGTTTCACTTAACGCGATGCCCTCAAGGTTCATCCAGGTTGTGGCACGTGTCAGAGCTTCCTTGATCTTGTATTTCTAATATATGTTTTTGTTTTTATACTTGTAATCGCGGTATTTAGATAATTTTACATCTTCCATTTAAAACGTATCACGAAAGCGCTCTGGTGTTGTTGACAGAGGCTTTAAAACTGTCATTTTCAAGGGCTGCCTCACTGTTTATCAAAAGGATCTGATGTGATCGAATGAACCGCTGTTAGGCACACGGGCTTCCTTAGAATATTGAAATGCTGGATATTGAAAGCACTTAGCGTACTTACTACGTGCCAGGTTCTCTTCCTAACGTTTAAGAACCCGTTTGATCCTCACAAGGCCCCTACGAGACAGCAGTCCCATTATTAAGCCCATTTTACAGATCGCGACACTGAGGCCCAGAGAAGTGAAGCGCCTTGCGCAGGGTCTGAGAGCTAAAAAGCTGCAGAGCCAGACACGCAGCCGGCTAGCCTGGGCCCAGAGCCCACGTTCGAACACGGTTACTTCCACGTTGATCATGCGGGTCTGACATGTTTCTGAGTTCTTTAGATTCCAGTCCTGGAAATATGTGCAACTCCACAAATGAGGGACAAAACTACTCTCCCTGGAGGCGGGCGACCAGTGGAAGTTTGTGTCACCAAGGCCCCCAGCACGATTCTCTGTACTGTCCAATCTTATAAGAGGGGAAATTCACTTTGCCTTTTAAATTTGCACAGTTGATTCTTGAACAACGTGGGGGCCAGGGGCACTGACCCCACGCTGTTTAAAATCCATGCACTGCTTTTGACGCCCCCAAAACTTAACTACTAATAGGTTCCTGTTGACCAGAAGCCTTACCGATAACACGGTCGATGGACACATATTTTATTTGCTATATTATAAGCTGTATTCTTACAATAAAGTCAGCGAGAGAAAAGCAAGCTATTAAGGAAATCATACAGTGACAGTATTTATTGGGGGGGGAAATCCGCGTGTAAGGGTCCCCCGCAGTTCCACCCCGCGCTGTTCAGGGGTCACCTGTGCTCATTTAATGACAAGCGTGCCGGGCATGTGGGCGCCGGGGCGTGACTCACATAATTTGGGGCCAGGTCGGGGTGGTTCCTCTCGATGCCGTCGTCCAGGATGGTGACCACGACGTTCTTGCCCGTGAAGCCCCGCTTCCAGGCCGCCTGGACGTTCATTTCCGAGCGGCAGCGGCTGTTCCTGTCCTCGCAGTGCTGTATGCGGAGGGACACACGGACACTCCTGACCCGGGGCGGACCCCAAGGGCGGCCCCAGCGGAGGAAACGCTCCCTCGCCTCCTAGAGCAGAGGGGCTCTTTCTCCCCGGTTTCCAGAAGAGCAAACGTGGGGGGCTCCACGTGCTGCTTCTGTCCCTGGCACTGGGCCCTTTTCCGAGGACATCCTCTCTCCTTGGGGCCTCTGGCCAGGGGCTCATGGTCACCACTCCACAGCCTCCATCCCATGGCCCCCCTGCTCAATGAGGCCCTGGGACATGTTCGTGTCATTTCAAACGGAATCCACAAGGATCTGGGGCCACCCGGCGTGAAAGTGGGGTTTACACTCAGGATGCAGGGAATCTGTTTGGAGTTCCTGGGAGGATTTAGCTTCCTTGGGGGAAATGAACCTGTCCCCAGACACACGGCCACTGCAAACGCCCGGGGGACACAGAGGTCACGCCCCACTCACCAGGTACCACATGTTGGACCAAATAGGGTCATTGAAATGAGGGCCCTGGGGGTCACCTCGCGCCTGTCGCTTCACCCTGCGCTTGACTTCTTGCTGCTGGAGCCACTTCACCTGTGGGGGGGAAACGCAGTTAGGATTCGTTTTAAAAGCGATCTCCTGATATGCAGCCTCTCCCCACGGGTGCCACAGGTGCCCTTTTCATGAATGTCTGTGTCATCTTAGACGTCTTCGATGGTAAGTTTCAAGGAGACATTTTCAAAGTCACCACGGTTGAAAAATGAGAACTTGTCTGTGTACATGGAGGGGAAAATAGTAGCATTCTGATAGATTCTGAGATCACTCTACTAAAAATAGAAAAAAAGACCTTGCCCTGGCCAGTGTGGCTCAGTTGGCTGGGTGTCGTCCAGTGCACCAAGTAGTTGCTAATTCCATTCCCTGTCAGGGCAAGAATGAGGGTTTTGTTTTTTTAAAAAATATATCTTTATTGACTTCAGAGAGAGGAAAGGAGAGGGGGAGAGAGAGATAGAAACATCAATGATGAGAGTCACTGGCCGGCTGCCTCCTGGACACACCCCTGACTGGGGATCAAACCTGCAACCCAGGCCTGTGCCCTGACTGGGAATCGAACCCCAATCACCTGGATCCTAGGTAAATGCTCAACCACTGAGCCACGCCCAGCCAAGCAAGAAATGAGGATTTTTCACAGCAGGATTCCAGGAGCCGAGCTGCCTGGATTTCAAACCCAGCTTCATGCTCACCAGCTGTGACGCAGAGCAGCCAGTTAACCTCCTAAGCCTCAGTTTGCTCATCTGTACAATGGATCACCATGGTATGTCACAGGGGACACTGGCATATAGACAGGTATGTATTAAGTGCTCATATCAGTGCCTGATACATGGCTGTATTATTGTGTGTGTGTGTGTGTGTGTGTAAGAGAATTTCAAGCTGGAAGAAATTTTTCCACTTGTAAAAGGTCAGAGATAAAAGAATCCCCATGTCCTGAACAGAAGCATTTTTTTGGTCCTGCTGCTGTGGTCCCACCTGAGTCACCTCCATTCCCCTGGGGCTCGGCTGGACGCTGGGACTGAGCTGGTCAGGATGGGGACACCCGGGCCCTGCTCTCGAGTTTGTGCCTGGTCGGGGGCCCCACCTAGCAGCCCAGAGTGTGANTGGGGGGGGCTGGGAGCCTCAAGGGTGGGGGCAGTGAGGGCCAGGGTGACCTGGAGGCCACCCAAGGCTGGCGAGCCCAGAGCAAGGCCCGAGGCCACAAGAGCCACTGCGGGAGCCGCCTGAGGGACTCAGGCAGAAAAAGAGGCACCCGAGGACTGAAAGGGGCAAGAAGCTTGCTCAGCCCTCCCCTCTCCCCTCCCCGCAGTGTCCTGAGGGCAGAAAGCCCACCAGCTCCAGACACAGCCTCACAGTCAAGAGTGGGGACTGACCCCAATGGCACTTTTGGCCCTGGACGAGACAAAATGCTTAGAATGAACTATCACAGCGTGCCCCACCCCCATTGTCTAGAAAACACCAGCAGATCGAGTTCCTCAGAAACGCCATGAGGTTAGGCACCTGGACAAGCCTCAGCCCCACGTCCTGGATCATTTATAATCGCCACTGAGAGACAGATGCTTCCGTGGAAAATAAAACTATTCAAAGAGAGATTTCGCTCATCACACCCTCCGATGGCATTTTGCGAGCTCCCTGTATATTACTGTCTGAACCAGAAAGCTTTTCCCTGGCATGAAACACCTAAGGCAGTATTTCCTAATCTGCTAGACATCTTATTATACGAGAGAGTGGTGCATAGATCACTCCAAGCTCTGGGATGCGCCCCTCCATCTGGCCAGCTGACTCCCCATCCGTCTTACTAACACCCAGGGCCGTCGGCTGCTCTGCCCACTGGGCAACACCTCCAGTTACAGAGACAGAGGTGAAGGCTCCTCCTCAAAGCCCAAATGGCCCAGCCAGTGTGGCTCAGTAGTTGAGCGTTGACCCATGAACCCAGAGGTCACCGGTTCAATTCCCAGTCAGGGCACAGGCCTGGGGTGCAGGCTCCTCGATCCCCAGCAGGGGGCATGCAGGAGGCTGCCGATCAATGACTCCCCTCATTGATGTTTCTCTCTCTCTAACTCTCCCTTCCTCTCTGTGAAGTCAATAAAGATATATTAAAAAAAAAAATAAATGTTTGACCAAATATAGCAGGCTAACTTTTAACTGATAATTTTGTATGGCCCGCAAATGATGTTATAAATATCCAAATGGCCCTTGGCAGACAAAAGGTTCCCCACCCCTGCTCTAACTATCAGTATAAAAAACACAACTTTTCTACAGGAGATGCTCAGACTTCCTCTTGGTCAGAAACGCGTGGGAAGAGACAGTGGGACACATTTATCCACCCTACCAGCCACGGATATACAACTTGAAAAACAAATCCTAAACCCAAGCCAGCCTGCAAATGAGTGAGCCTGGGGCAAAAGAAAATACAGGGTGGGGCAAACGTAGGTTTACAGTTGCTTGTATGGAAAATAATACAATTAATAAATAACCATGCAGGAACAAGCTGTGTTTCGTGCACTCGCGACTGTAGACCTACGTTTGCCCACCCCCGTGTGTTTCGTGGCTAAGTCTGTGTGGTAAGAATTGGAGTCTTCTAGGTGCGTCCCTGATGTTCTTGTGAACTGTCCCCTTTCAAAGCCTCCCGATCACCGGGCTGAAGGAAGGGGGGCCTCCCGATCACCGGGCTGAAGGAAGGGGGGCCTCCCGATCACCGGGCTGAAGGAAGGGGGGCCTCCCGATCACCGGGCTGAAGGAAGGGGCAATACTACTCCCAAGAGAGTTCCTTTCATTCTAGTTCCGTCTCACCAGGTTTTGTACTGGGTTGACTGGTGGCCTCCTAAAAGGTATGTCCACCCAGAACTTGGGACTGTGACCTTATTTGGAAAAAGGGTCTTTGTAGATATAACTAAGTTCAGGATCCGAAAACCAGGTCATCCTGGGTTATCTGAGTGCGACCTAAAGCCAATGAGTGTCCTCAGGAGGTTTGCGGCCCTGACGGAGAAACTCCCTTTGTGGAGGCGGAAACGGGGATGGGAGCGGTGCTGTCACAAGCCGAGGATGCCTCGAACCACCGGGAGCCAGAGGAGGCAAGGAGGGACCCTCCCCTGGGCCTAAGGAGGGACCAAGGTCCCGCGACACCCTGATCTTGGAATTCCAGCCTCCGGAGCTGTCACACAACAAGTCCCTGTAGTTTTCAGCCGCCCAGTTGTGGTCACTTGTTACGGTGGCCTAGGAGCCTAATATAGGATTAAATCACAGCCTTGACCAGGGCCGAGACTTTGAACGGTCTGTGTCACCGCTGAACCCTTTGAGACGCGTCTCCTGCGGTCGTGGCCTGCTCGGAACGAGTGCTGAGCGGGGCGCCCCTTCCTGGACGCCCTCCGCCCGGGTCCCTTCTACACGCCGGCACCGCCCTGTGACAGCTGAGAGTTGAGCGCAGATGGCCCCCCGCGCTCCTGGGGTGCAGCGGGAGGGCAGATGCTAATAATCTCACCCACGGAGAGTACAACATGCAGGGCGAGAAAGAGCAGGTCAAGTCGAGGGCTGCAGGCAGCTTCCCGGTGCGGGGACAGAGGAGCTGAGACGGGAGGGTGAGGAAGGGCGATGGGGGGACAGCCGTCTGCGCGAAGCCTGCACAGGGGAAGGAGTGAAGGGCATCAGGGGGATTTTAAAGCAGGAGTGGTGGGGGGTCCAGGGGGCCACAGGGAAGCCAGACCAAGGAGGGACTGGGAGGCGGGGTAGGACACCCAAGGGACAGTGGCACCATCACACTGTCATTTCATAGGGACCCTAAGTAGGGTGGAGAGTCGACTTGTGGGGCCAGGAAGCCCACAGCAGGCTGGTGAGGGGGCAGGGCAGTGGTCGAGGTGACAGGCAGGAGCTTGGCGTAGGACAGGGTATGGGACACAGGCAAGGTGACGTTGACAGGGGGTGGGACAAGTGCGGGGTGAGGGGCTGCTGCTCAAGTCAGGGTGCAAAGGTGGGGTCAGAGGTGGCGAGCAGGGCCTGGAACACGTTCACTTTGAGATGGCATCTGGGTGGAAGTGCCAATCCTGCCGATGAGCTAACCAAGCGCCATCTCTTAAAGCCTCTTTTAAAATCCAAACTCTTGGCCGATTCGGAACAGCCACTGTTCCCCTAGACCCTGGAAACGCCAAGGGACAGCTGGAGACCTCTCTGGTCCCCGGGAGGCGGCCCTCCCCTCCCCTCCCCCGCCCCCAGACC